TTAAAAACACCAGAATATTTTAAAAGCAAAATCATTGCTATCACATCTGTTGACTTTTAATAGAGATAAAATTAGCGCAAACATATTTGTGCTCTGAAATCTACTGACTTCTACTACTATCTAGAGCACAGTAAAGTTTAACCGTATTTCACCAGTATCTTTGTTATGGTCAGTATTAATCCAAATTTCCATATCTCATATTTCCCAGGTGTATATTTTTGAATCACTAAGGACTGCCATTACTTCACCCAGAGGCACCCTGCCGTCTCAAATAATTGATTTTTATATCCCAGAGACTAAGTTATGATAATAAAAACAACTGGGTAGGGGGAGTTTTGCTGTTTAAAATCACTAAAATAAATCTTAGAATAAAAATCACAGAAATGCAGCCATCTAGCTTGACCTCCCATACAGAGTCCACAGAATCTTCCCCTGGATTATCTATAATTTGTCATTTAGAAAGCCCAATCACCTAGTTTTAATGGCTTCAAGTTCATTGCCTCCCTTAACTTTTGCTCACAATGCTTAAAGCTCCTGGTTTCTAGGACAGAGGATTTAATTTCCTTTGTCACAGTTTGATGAGTTGAATCTTTTTTATTTAAATGTCTACCTATAGATACCAAGTCATCTCTGAGGTTCCTGGCTGAATGCCTTTATGTGAGGCAAACTCCTAAAAGGGTTTCCCAAAGCCTGAGTCATTTTTAATCATCCTTTGAAATCTCTCAATTCCAATCTGTCTTAATGGCAAGACACCAAACCCACCGTTTTTTACTGATATGATGTGGAATAATTGCTTTGCTCCTTAACTTTTTAAGTGTTCAAGAAATGGAATACCCTTCTTTGTGACAGCATTATGCTGAGAGCTCGCACTGAGATGATCGTCTATGATCATCCTAAATCCATTAGGTCACTGCTTTCCAGGACAAAGCCCCATTATTCTGTAGCAGAGACAGATATGTTTCTCTGGTGCCAGATATATTTCATTTCCTTCAAATATACTTCATCTGGTTATAATAAAGTGCATTTGACTGGAATTTGGCCATTATACCAGGGGATTAATATCATTTAATAACTTCGACTTGTCCTTACCAACAATTATCCAGCCCTATCAGAACCTAATGAGCCCGATTCATCTACATCTTCACATTAGAAATCCTAGTTTTTGATTCCTCATTGAGCCAGCTTTTAATTAACCTAATGTGTGCCCTGATAATTCTCTATGCCATTTTTTAAATTACAGTGTCATTTTTTATTACATTAAATGTCTTTAGGAGTCCAAGTTTAGCATAATAATGCAAGTTGTAGAAAAAGATATCTGTAGGTTTGGAAGTTATACCAAAAAAGCTTTCTGCACTAAAACAGATTTTGAGAATTATTTTGTCCTCACTCCAATGGAAAATTCCCTCCTCCTCCCAAATATTTAGTCCAATGTAAACTTTTCCAAAATAAAACCAAAAATTACTTAGTATAAATAAAGTGACATGTGCTAAAGCCTTAACAGTATAAGAAGATAATGGCAGTTTTGGATTTAAGCACATCCATTCAAAAAATAGGAAACTTAAGTCTAATTCCAACTTTCCCTAGCCTTTCCAATAGCCATTTGACTTCTGGTAGAAATAATGTCAATCTCTACTCTTGTTTCACTGTCTACAAATAATTCAACCCAAGCAGGCAGGTTTCCATGCTAGAAGATTGGTTTTGTTTATTTTCAGACTCAAAGAGCAGTTATATGAAATGTTGCAGCTTCAGCCATGGGTGTTAGAAGACATCCAGCCAAGACCATCCAATAGGATAAATTCTGTTTACAGGAGCACAATCCTTTCTGGTATTCCATTTCTGAAGTACACATAGAACTGTCTCAAGCTGAACACCTAGCCAAGCCACTGGCAGGCAGAATGAGAGGCAAAGTATCTTCTTTAACATACTTAAGTGCATGCTGAAGAAATTTGCAAAATAACTCGCACTCCAAGCAGACAAAAGCTTTATGACACCCTTGGAAAGGGTAACTGGAATGGCAAGATATGACTTTTTTTACTCCAGTTTGTATTACCACTGTTGAAATACTAAATGAAAGAAAGATACCAATACATTTCTTCAGAAGATTCTTGAATCTGGAATTGAAGTCTCTCAGAAATTCACTTTTGGGAAAGATTCCCTTCTGGACAAAAAAAGTGAATTTATTATTCACTGAGAAAAAATTCCAAACACAACAATTATGTTCTTAGTAACCAGACACATAATTGACTAATATGTTTGAGCTATGCCTCATAACTACCTTACTCCCTAGAGAAACCACATCTAGCGTTATCCTAAACTCAAACCCACTGCAAGAGATGTTTCTAGTACAGCTATACTCCATCAGAGTAGAACACAAATATAAATAGCTGAATTTGACTGACAGAAATGGAATGGAATGTCATCAAGTTGACAGTCAAGTTGCTACTTTAAGTCTGATTCTGTCATTGTTACTCATACTGCATATCACCTGACTCTAGCAAAAGCAAACTTCCACAGCAAAAACATACTACAGCAGTAAACTCCTTCTTGTTATTATTAACTCCGATTAAGCATTTTTCCAAATCTTAGGAACACTTACTTTCATAATTAAGAAAAACTGACTGTTAAGGTATGTGAATTTGCTCAGTGTAAGGAATTTACCCATGGACAAATACTGCATGGTTTGGAAATTTACTGGAACACAGTCTGAATTTCTTCATTCTGCAAAAGAACCCTGTCTTTCTGCTAGGTGAACATTTGTGCAGAATGTGAAAGTGAATGTTTTATTCAATACCTGTTGAAGTCATCAGCAGAGTGTCTTTGACTGCAGAGTTTCAAGACCAGTGCAGAATGAATGAAGTGGAAATCACACTTTTTCCCAACAATCTTGATTTATCAGCAGTAGACTTTTCACTGTGAACCTTAGAAAAGAATTTGCAGATGTATAGCCACAAAACATTTAAACTTATGCTGGTGAGGGTTCAAGTCTTGTCCCAGATCAGTCGAGCTGGAAATGAGCATCTAGTGCTCCTGTTGGTAAGTTGAAATTGGACAGAAGTGGTAGTAGCCACATGACTTTGTGCGCTACAGAAAATGACATGCCTTAAGTGGATTAGTACAAAGGAATGTTATATACACATGCGATTTTTAAGGTCCCTTCCAACCTTTAACATTCTATGATTATATATATATTTAATATGGATTAACTGAGTGGCAAGTTTTTCAAGAATCTGAGTTATTCACCTATCATGTACATCTGCTCAATGGACTGACTGGAGGGAGGGATACTTTACATCCAAGGCTGTGTGACCTGGGGAAATCTGCTGTGTGGTAACTTCTTCGGTTAGGTACCCAAGAAAGCAGACTAATACTTTTGGGCAGCAAACCCTTGCCAAGATTACAGACAGTAGGTCAAATTACACCAAAAGACTGTCTTTGTCTTTTCAAGGTTCTTGGAAGCTAGGTGATGCTTTAAAAATTTCCAAACAGCAATATTTGTAGGACTTGTTTTAAAGGGATATACAAGTTGACTCTTGAAAGTCTCCAGAAAGGCCAAATTTCTTCTCATAAAAGTTGGCTAAGACATGCTCTGGTGGTTGTAGATGCAGCTCTTCTGTTTCTGTGCATCAGTATCCCACAAAGAAGAAAATTATTTTTGCCAGCTCCAAGAACTTTCATCAAACTGAAGAACTGTGCAAGTGGTAAATATTTTCTCCTGATCCCTTCTTTTTCCAAGAAAAATCTGTATGCATTCTTTGAAACCTCTTTGCAGAGAATCAGCACACAAGCAAATTACTCTAGATAGTAATGGGAAACTGTCTTCAGAACAACAGCTGAGGAAGAACACACGTGAGGCTCTGTCTACAGAAATTTTTAGTGACTCTAAAAAACAACCACAAGTCTTTGATTTTGGATCATATTGTCTTGGTGATTTTCACCTCTCTTTGCTAAGTGTGTAGAGAGTTTCAAAGGAGAATACATTTAGCAAGCAGAAAAGATTCAGTCACTAAATTATAATAGCTCTTAAAAGCATTTGTTACTTCCTATCTTTCAATAACAAAATTTACATTAACAGAGAAAATAATTATACATTTATCTCTTTCTCTGACTTATGACCACAGACTTAATTAAGTGCATAAAGAGGAAAAGGGGGGAGTATGCTAAAAAAATCAATAATGCTTCTTGAAAATGTTTTCCTTTCCTTCTTTAGCATAACAAATCTTTTAAGATGGAATAATTTATTCTCTTTTATATGTGTACCTATTTGATTTCAAATTTTGTTATAACTGGCATGCAGGTTTAAAAATTATTGACTTTCAGTTATCACTGGATCTTGCTGATAACGATAAATATTTAAAATGCTGTCAAAGAGCCTGGAGGATTTAAAATGTAAAGTCTGATTTACAAAAAATGAGAACGTAGATCTCATTTCCATAAGACAAGATATGCACTGTTGTCATCATCATCATGGCTAGGCTTCGCGAACAAAGATTTGGGAAGGCACTATCCACATTTGCTACAGGCACGCTGGTGGCTTATGAGGCCAATACGTGACAGACATATCCGATTGCAAAAGGCACAGCAGAAAGACTCCTTAGATGGTGTATTCTGCAAGGCACGGTTCTTTCTGCATTGCCTTTTTTCCTCGAGAGTGATCCTGCGTGTGTTCTCGAAGGAGACAGCTGTGTTATAGATGGTGTGTCTCCAGGCCTCCCGATTTGAGGCCAGAGTAGACCAGTTATGGTGATCAATATGGCCAAGGCTGAGATGTTGTTTCAGGGAGTCCTTGTATCTTTTCTTCGGGGCTCCTCTCATGCGGCAGCCAGTGGCAAGTTCACCATAGAGCAGGATTTTAGGGAGGCGGTGGTCCTTCATCCTTGAGACATGCCCGGCCCATCGCAGCTGCGTTCTCAGTAACATGGCCTCAATACTTGTGACAGCAGCTTGCTCTAGTACAGATGTATTAGTCACATAATCTGAGCAGCGGATGTTAAGGATTGTATTTGTTTTGCAAATTATGTTTGTCGGGACATGTTGAGATGCCAAAGCGACCCAGTTCTGCTCAGTTATCACTTGCTTTGAAAATAGCCTCTCTAAACTCTTACATCTGAATACATTTGAAACTGTTCCCCCCTCATTTTTCATTCTTTTTCTTGTAGAACACTAACCAGAAGGTATTAATTTATAAGAACTCAAGATGACCCAAACAGCTTTTTTTTTTGAATTGTTGGTTTTCCCACTACCAAAAACTAGTTTTACACCTGACTGCTATTATCTCAAAGTAATCAAAGAATGTGATAAATAATATCCACATCTAATTTATTAAAAGCTGAGTCAAAGAACAGGTGTTGCTATTGTAAAGATTAATTTTGCAGCTCTTCTGCTCAAACTCACAAATTATGAACTCCTGGGCCCTTTCAACACTAAATCACACACACAACATTCACACAGATTTATTACTTTAGGGTGAAAAATTATGTGTAATCTTGCCAGCTGCTCTACCTACAAGCACTGGCATCACCAAGTATACCAAGCCCCTTACTGACTCCACTTTACAACCAGGAATTTGCAGCCTCTCCTTTGTCAGTGGTGGTAGTTCTGCACTTTCTTGCCCATGACACTAGCATATAATCTCAAATGGAGATGATAACACAATTAGTTATTTTTAATGACAGTCATCATTATTAGATTTCAGATACAGAAAGTATTACTTTGATAAAGGATTTTTGTTCTATTCCTTTATTTATATTAGTAGAAACAGTGACCTCCTATAGAGGGTGCATGAGTTAATTACACTGCAGTTAACTGCAGTCAACAAGGGTTCACAAAGGGAAAGTCCTGTTCAATTAATTTGATATCCTTCTATGAAAAGGTCACCCACCCAGTGGATGAATGAAAATTGGTGGATGCAGTTTTTCTGGATTTTAGTAAGGCTTCTGATACTGTCCCTCACAACATCCTTCCGGACAACTTGTCCAGATGTGGGATGAGGGGGTTCCCGGTGTGCTGGGTGAAGAACTGGCTGAAGGGCAAAGCTCAAAGGGTTGTAGCGAATGGGGCTACATCTGGCTGGTGACTGGTCACCAGTGGTGCTCCTCAGGGCTCAATTTTAGGGCCAGTTCTGTTCAATACATTTACCTACAACCTGCAGGCAGGAGTTGAATGCACCATTACCAAGTCTGCTGATGATACCAAACTGGGAGGTGCTGCTGACTCTCTTGAAAGACAAGAGGCCTTGCAGAGGGATCTAGATAGGTTGGAGCATTGGGTAGTGATTAATAGCATGAAGTTTAACAAGTTGAAATACCAGATTCTGCACCTGGGACAGATTAATGGCAGGCACAAGTATGAACTGGGAGAGGAGTGGTTGGAGAGTGTCCCTGCAGAAAGGGATCTGGGGATGCTGGTCAGCAGCAGGCTTGGTAGCAGTTGGCAGTGTGTCCTGAAGCCAAGAGGGCAAACCCCGTCCTGGAGTCCACCAAACACAGCGTCACAAGCCGCTCACAAGAGGTGATTATCCTGCTGTGTTCAGTATTGGTGCAGCCTCACCTGAAACACTGTGTGGCAGTTCTGGGCCCCACAATTTAAGAAGGATGTGAAGGTCCTTGAACATTTCCAGAGGAGGGTAACAAAGCTGGCGAAAGGGCTGGAAGGAATTACCTATGTGGTGTGGCTAAGGACTTTGGGCTTGTTTAGTTCGGAGAAAAGGAGGCTCAGGGGTTACCTCATTGCTCTTCACAGCTTCCTGAAAAGAGGAAGTGGAGAGGGAGGTGCTAATCTCTTCCTGCTATCCAGTGACAGAACACATGGCAATGGCTCAAAGCTCTGCCAGGAGAGGTTCAGATCGAACATTAGGAAGCATTTATTTACTGGGAGGGCGGTGAAACACTAGAACAGGCTTCCTAGGGAGGTGGTCAATACCCCAAGTCTGTCACTGTTCATTCAAGAGGCATTTGGATGATGTCCTTAACTGCATTCTTTAACTTCTGGTTAGAAACTATAGCTTACCTTCTTTCCCTTCTCTCTTCTCAGTGCCATCAGATCCAGCAAAAACAATTGTTATTAGTTAGGCAACTATAATCTCTAATGATTTGCTTGTGGGACTGAAACTTTTATCTATAATTCACCACTTTGTTACACTGGGCAGTGACAATGACCTACCAAGATTCTTGGAATATGATAATGCAGGATCTTGGGTGCTCAGAAGTCCTCACATTCACACAATTAAAGTATAGGAGCTATAAAAGAACCATGTTGTGTATCTGATATGTCCTGAAGCATCAGTCTCCCTGATCACATAACTGGGACCAGTTTGTGTGTGCACAGCCAGTCCTACCAATGTTTGTGGGATTGTAAATTCATTACAGAAAATACCAAGGAAAAATCGCATGAACAGAAAAGGCAGGTACCAGAGTCTACTTTGGGCCACCTAAGGTGAGCTTCACCCAAAGATAACTGAAAGGCTCAGCTCCAAGTTAAACTGGACTTACTGGCTTTGGACTAAAATCAGCTGGACACACAGAACCTCATTTTAACGCTGTGTATTCAAGAAACCTGGGACATGCTCTTCAGTATCCCATTGTGTAAATCTAAATTTCCAAGTCAAACTCTGGGCTATGTATGAATCTGTGAAACTGATATACAAGTATATATTATATATAGTATATATTTTTAAAGTGGCATAATTTAAAAATACATTCTGCTTATCTGGCATGATTATTGTTAATCATTAATCCCTTACAGAACTATTCCATTCTGTGAAGAATTTGTCTTTTTCATATGTTAACTATCATGTTTAAACCAGTTTTAGTTGAATATATTGAGTTTTCTAAACATGCTGATTAAATCATATGTTCTTTTCAAGTATATCACCTAAAATATGTTAGGAAATAGTTTGCATATTCACCTTTGCAGATCACAGACCTACTGTGAATTAAAAAAGAATATGTGAAACAGTTAATGTTTTCAGTAAGATTATTTACAGGTACCTTGTAGGCAGAGAGAACTTGCCACAGTTTGAACATACTGCACTTTATAGCCTGTTACTTGTTGTTACTTGTTCTGTTGTGATCCTGCTGACCTTCACTTGCATGATCAGGCAAGTGCTTAAAGAGTGTAAGATATTAAGGATTACTTGTATGATTAAGAACTTTTCTTCTTTCTATACAGATGAATTAAAAAGAATACAGGTAAAATAGAGATAATGGAGTTACAGGCCTAAGGAGGGAGGCTCTACTTTTCAGAGCAGAGGGTTTTTACATTGTTTTTTTAAGCTGGTGAATATAAATTTATTAAACAGAGGATCTATTTCAACCTCATGTTACTTCTGGAATAGCTGTTTTAACACATCAGGAGAAATTGTTTCACTTATCTTAAGTAAACTGTGGTCCGTGATCATTTTGTCATTTTTTAGTGACTATAGGAAAGCTTTTGTAAATCAATCCTATAAAGTTCAGCCCTAAGACAAATGAGTAACTGGCACTTTTGAGAAAAATTGCTCTGAGCAGGCATGACATCTCCACAGCATTTGAAGATATGTTTGAGAGGTTTTTACATACTATCTGGTCCTAACAAACATACTTACATTTGTGTTGGTCAGCTTCCACTCCTTCACTTTCTGTGTCACTCAGCAATATCCAAGGTTGATTAGGAAGTTGAAGCTGTAGTAAGAATGCATCCTGCCACAAACAGATCTATTTTAGATAAAATGACAGACAACTATTCTATATAAATGCAGACTGTAGTAAATATTCTAGTCTCAATTAACCAGAGAGGAGAAAGCCTTTTATTAAAAAAACCCTTGCTATGAAATAAAACCAGAGTGTACAGGATATGTAGGCTCCTTAGCAATTATAGTATTTAATTACTTATTTATCTATTTAGGGGGTGAAGAAGGGGTTTCTTTAGCTATCTATCTGCTATAGACCCCGATATGACAGATATATACATACTCTTCTTGAAAATGTAGTGACGCAGAACAAAACTGGAGATATTCCATCTGTCCCTGCAGTCTTTGGACCGCATATACACTTCAAACATGATTTGCTTAAGTGAAGTTTTGATTTGTTGAAACTTTCACTGATTCTAATCTAATAAGAACAAGAACCTGAAACTTGATGGTTTTATTGGTGAACAAGTAAACTTAGGAAGGAAAAACGCTATGGAAACCCTTGTCTCCAAGATACCATAAAACATCAAAATATAAATGTTTTACACAGTTTAAAAAATCCAGCTGAATATACGATTTTTAAAATGTTTTACAATTGTCTCCTTTTTAATATAATTTATATATGTATATATATAAAAATATTTTTCCATGCACACACACACACACACACACACATGTATGTGAGCATGCACACATACTGACACACAAAACACTTTGATACGTTCCTTTGCACTATTCAAGGGAAGAGATGAGACTGGAATGCACATTTTTATTTGAAAAAGCAGTTCAAACATGCAAGTCTAGTCTCTAAAAGAAAACTTAAAACACTGGTCAGATATCATAAAATTACTGGCCAGATTTTTATAAGTTCTTGAAAAAAATGGGGGGTAATAGCCCTATTTTCTTTTACATCAGCTGAGAATCAGAACCTACATGCTTAAATAGTACTACAGCCTATTCTTAGGCTATCTGATTTAAAAACAGAAACCAGGCTTGTTCAAATTAGTTTGTGGAGACTGAAGACGGTTCAATCAAGATCTAACTCACTAGGAATAAATTATTAATTCTGTCAGCAATGTGTTAAAAAATTCCACAAATGCTGCTGCCATGGTCCAACAGTAAGCTCAGGAGGGAGGTCCAGGCCTTACTCATGTCTTGTCATTTCAGATGTGCTGTGTTTGAGAAGGTTGCTGACTACAGCACTGAACATGTTTTGTTTCATGGAACAGGATTCTTGCAGTAGGGGAAGTGGCTCTCACACTCATCTGCATAGCTTTTAATCTTCCAAAAACACAGAGCAAGGACCTGAGCCGGGCAGCAGAACAGAATGAAAGTATCTGACCAAAAAGAGAGTCCTCATCACAAGGTATGATCTATATTCCACCAAGTAGGAGTAAAAATTTTGTGAATCAATGCTATGTTCAAATAAGGTGAAATTTCCTTCTCTTAAAATGACAGACCAATAAAGATTGCTGAATACAATTTTAAATTATCTGAATAAATAAAATGATTTTAAAATTCCAAGTGTTAAGCAAATGAAATGGCAACCAAGGGAGTCAGTAGTATTTTCATCTCAACAGTTATCGATAAGTATCACAGAATTGTGTCATTTTTATGGAATCCATCCTAAAGAGATAAGCAGGATTCAACATTCATTTGCCAATTTATACAAAACACCAAAGGATTAAGTATATGCATAAAGCTATCTCTGCCAAAGGATTTGGAACCCTGATTTATTAGCTTTATAGAGATAATAAAACTATTTCTCTAGGTAGCATTTCTTTCCTATAATTCAATTCAGCCTTGAACAGAGCTGATAATAAAACACACCTGCTAGAAGTTAGTAATAACGTGTGTGCCGGGAGGCAGAAACTTGTCCACAAAAATCTCAGATCATTATAAGTCTTTAAGCACTAAAAAAGCCCAAAACTTTCTTAACAGCTGATATGTTAAGTACTTGCCAAATTATTTAAGATTAAACCACCCATACTGCAGCATGAACTTTACTAAAACTTAAGAACTTTGAACTGTATTAGTAATATTTTTCTATTTTAACTTGTTATATTACTCTGAAACACATTACAATCTACAATACATAAGGCATTGAGAGATACGCTAAAATTCCCGACAAACAAACAAATAAATAAATAATTCAAGCTCCTTATGGTAAAACATGTTCCGGGTGTCCAACAATCACTTCCTTTTAACTGACTTATTCTCGTAAATATGCATCAATGTTGTACTGGTTAATTCCATTAACATCACTTAAGAGTAAGGAAGCAGAATTATTTGCAATATCTTATCATAGCTTCTTCTGCAGGATTGGCAATATAACCAAAGTGTATTTACACCTAGTAGAAATACCCAGTTGGCACCATAAGTCCAAGAAGAATAAAAGCAATTTCCCTTCTTTTATTTTACTGGTTTTATACAGGTAGAGGATACAAAACCTACAATGAAAGTCACAAAATAAATTACAGCATCAGCCTTGAGTTTATGTATTTGTGATCTGTAAAAGTACAAAGACAGAACTCTTCTTTTTCTCCTACCCCAGCCCACCACTGCCTTTTTAAAATATGTCTGCATGGTCAGAGAGAAGCTGTGACACAAGAAAATGAAATCACATGGCCAAAAATAGGAGGAAACCTCTAACACGGCAAAAAGTGTCACCAGACAGGGATATTTCCTGGGTATGTTTTGTCTAAATCTACTTCGCTAAGTGACCAGGAACTTCAGTGGGAAAAGACAGCTTAAAAGAGCTCCCAAAGCTTCTAGCATAACCCTCCAAAGAAGAGGCTAGGAGTGGCAGATTGGCCAGACCTCCATCATCTACTTCCTGATATCCAAGGGCCTTCATAACTTGGCAGAGGCAGGTCTTCAGTATGAACGTGTCATATTAGCAGTTTTCCATTTGGAAGCAGAGCTAGCCCCAAGTTGAGTTTCCATTATGTCAAAGGTCACTTGTGCATGTCAGGAAAGGATAAATAGGGTTTGAGCTGGCTCATTAGCAGCCAAGGTACTATTGTACCCAGGGAGCAAAAAGAAAGAACAGAATTTGCCACTTCTAGAAGGAATTATAATAGAGGATAAGAACTGACATAGAAATGCTGAGATTTAACATCAGCTTTAAAGTGGGATTGCTGGCTGAAGCTGGACATGCTATTCTAAATGGAAAACGGTAATAATAATGCTCACTTCCAGAAGTTCTTGAGACACATATATACATTTATATGAAAAGTATAACAGGACACTTATTATAAGAGGTATAAGCAAATAGAAGTAATAAGACACAGCAAATGAAATGTGACTCTTGGTTCTTATTAGTATAACTACAGAAAGGCTGTGGAAGAAAGCATTTTTAATTCCCTGCCTTGTTACAGGAAAGAAGAGAAGTGATGGACAGACTGAATGTTCCTCAGCAGAGATGCAGTGCTCATTACATACATATATTTTCAGGAGTATATACAAGAATTCTAGTTGGTATCACATGATTATGTATCACTAAAGAAAAAGGCTGCATAAAAAGAAAGAAAAAGAGGAGTGAAGAATTTAGTGGGAGATAATTAAACCCGTCATGTCTTCTGAACATTTTTAGTTAAAAAATATTTTTAATTCTCATTTTCTGGTATGGGAGAAAATTCTAACACAGAAACATATCACATACCTCAAAACAGAAGACAGAGGGATTTTTTTTCTGTCAAAAAATAAATGTGTTACAATTACTTATATTTTTTCCATGGAAAACTTATGGTTTGAAAATATATCAACACGCAGTGAAGACACTTTCAACAGAACTGTAGTCACCTTCACTCATCATGTCTTCATGTCCTTAAGTTAGATATTCAATTCTACGTGAAGAAGTAGCTCGAGTGATGGGATTAGTGCGCTGCCATTCAAACACCAAAATAATGAGGATTTTTTTCACCATCAAATTTAAGTAAGATTCCCTCCCCAAATTCTTTAGTTTTGGATTAATCTGTGCCTTATTTCCTTTCTCTCACAACAAATAATGAAGGTCATACAATTAACTGCAGGATTACATTAAGTACCAAACCTCTAACTTTCCTACAAGCATCTCTAAGCAACATTATTACAAACAACATTTTAAATTTTCCTTTGAAGTCATTAGACTAATAATACATTGTGTCAAATGTCACACCCAACAGATTATTAAAACAGATGATACTTCACAGAAACAATTATCTAAAGGTATGGTATTATTTTCAGACTTTGAAAAAAGGTGTCCAGGTTTTGACAAATGGGTTACAAAGAGATTGATAATAATGGTGGAATCCAACATATCCCACCATTTAAAAATTACCAATCCAGACATATAGTTCCTTCTCAAGTCAGTATAGAAGGACCAGCATATCCTGAGAAAAGACTCACCTTTGTAAGGCATGTATCTGAGATAGACAGCAGGGCTATTTTTTCACAGGTGCTTTTATTTCCACTGCCTACACACTGAAGTTATCTTTAAGGCAGCTAAGGTTAGCAGAGGAGAATCCTACTCAGAATTTACAAGGTACTTTAATTTTTTGTTCTGTTCTGTTTTAAACAAAGATTAATCCTGTAAAAGCAAATAATATGGAATGGAAGTTTTTATACTGTAAATCAGCAGTTAATGCACATAATACTAGACAATGATTCAAGAATGTTAGACATTTTCTCTTGCAATTCAGTTTGGTGCTTTGGAAAAATTTGTCCATTGAGCGATGCCTAACTAATCATTCCAATGTGCCCAAAAAATGAAATAAAAATTAGACCAAGGAAATATCATGCACTGCCAGTGTGGCAGGAAAAAGATACCCTGGAACATAAAGATCAGATAAAGTTGTGTTTAATATTCCAGAGGTATGCAGATAAAGTTGTGTTTAATATTCCAGAGGTACACACCTCTTAGAAACTGTAAGGCTAACAAAACTGGTATGCATCATACAGGCAAAACCCTACACAACTCATGGTAAATTTGGGGAGCACAAGTGTTTCAGTATGATTTCTCTAATAATACTGACATTCTCTAATCAGTACCTCTCAAAGCTGAGCAGTATTTCCTTGCTAATTTTCTCATCATTATATTTCAAGTTCTTTTCAGCACAGTAGGTTACATTAGGTATACCGATGTTATTTGAACATAAAATGCAATCTCATATTCATGCTATTAAACGTAGCCAAGACATTAAATTGAAAATCTTACTTCTGATAAACTGTTTCTCTGAGTAGTGACAGTTCCAACAACGTCTCCACTCACTTGCACAGAGAGCCCCGAAGCAGCACTGAGGGTCCTCCCGATTTGGCTCTTAGATGTCAAAGATCTGCTTCTTTGTATACTAATGATGCTTTCCCTATTTCCTTGGTTGCTAGGGACAAGAGGCCGTGACAACAAGCTATTTGGAGTCACAGGTCTGCTCCCTGGAGTTGATGGCCTGTTGGTTTTTGCACTAGGTGTGGAAGGTCTACTGTTTGCAACGCTGGAGACCTGTGTTCTGCTGTTGGTGGGCAGTGGTGGTGATTTGTTTCCTTGGAGCTGAATGTTCTTCCCTGTTGGAGTTGGCACCTGAGGCCTTGGGGTTTGGCCCTGTGAAGCTTGAAGATTGCTTTGATTGTCAGATGTAACTACACTGTGATGCTGGACACCAGGGCTTCTTGAGAGCCTTGCTTCTTCCCATAATGCTAGGTCCTTCTCAATGTCTATGCACACACACAAACAAAACAGAAAGAAAAGAAACTCACTGTCTATTCCTCTCTAGTTTAAAACCCTTAATGATTTTCTCCAACATAAGTGACAATCTGAAGCTGATAGGAGAAAACCTATTCATGTTTAAAATAAAAGGCATCAGAATTAACAGTTCACATGTTTTTGGCAAGCATTTCCCTAAAGTTTAATTACTGCAGACACAGCTATCCTGCGGAATTGAAACATTACCACTTCATTGAACGTCAATACAACCTATAAAAATCCCTCTTGTTTCATCAAAGTTATCTCTCTATGCCTTTTGCCAAGATTAGTATCAAGTCAAGATGGAACCGTGACATAAACTTGCCATCCTCACCTGAAGTAAAGCGCAATCCAAAACTGGTTCAAGGCAAAACTTTAGCTTCTGGCCTTGCTGTCTACTGCCCAACCAAAACTCTGGGGGAAATAACGCTTGAGCTTTTGCTCATCTGGATCTGTGATCCTGTTTGAACCTGAATTTTGTGTTCTGGCCTACTGTCAATGGCACAGCAGATGATGGTGTCACCAACATCTAGAATCCAAGGAGAAAAGGTGACTGCCATTTGGTGGTCCAAACCCTACCTCTCACACAGCCATAAATAATGAGATCTTATTTAAAACCACAACAGATCAGGAGTGGTGATGAAAAGTGTTTCCTGAATTAATTTAAATAATATTAATGCTTCTAATGAATTAAATAATATATATCCACCAAAGTCAGGTAAGGGTGGCATTGCTAACATACTGAAAGTCCTTGCAAGTAGAAATGTAGAGCTTAAGAAACAGTTTAATCAAGTTTATTTTATCTTACACTACTGTTACGAATTTTCACTTTCATCGGCATGTACTCTACTGTATCTCGGTTTTCATAGAAACAGTTGATTATCTTTAGAATAGCAACATCATTTCCCATTAAACTGCACAAGTCACAGTCCCAGAAGCTGTAAATCAGAAGGACTGTACTGATTTAAACACCTATTAAGTGAGCTCATATAAATTAAGCATTTAATATTTTATTTTGATAACAATGATTTCAGGTTCTCAAAGTCCTAAAAGAAACAGATTCTAAACCACATATTGGAAAATAAGATTTTCTTTCACATGTTTACCAGTAGATATAAAAGGAATGCTGTATGTTAAATAATTAAAGATGTGCTGCCTTAAACATTAGCTTATTTTATAATAATACCTTGAAAACAGGAAAATAAGCTATGCCAATTTCACGTTACTAGCCTAATACAACATATTACACACAATTCAAATGCTATTAGTAGAAAAGCTAGTAAAACTGAAATAATTGTGAAATCCTCAGATAAAAGTGTCTCTCAACTTTTAAAAGATAAAATGTTTAGCTGTTAGCAAATTTCAAAACATAGTTATTGTTTCTAGCACACAGTTAAGAACATTTCTAACTGATTCCTTGCTGACCCCTTAAAATTAATTATTTCCATTTTGAAATAATTACATCTTGAAATACCCTTCAATTATGCTCTCAACTTTGGAACTTCATAAAATCATAGAATGGATTGGGCTGAAATAAATCTTTAAGGTCATCTAGTTCCGAACCCCCTGGTTATGGACAGAGATGCCTACCACTAGGTCATGTTGCTCAGGGCCCCATCACACTTGGCCTTGAACACTGTCAGGGACAGGATATCCACAAATCTAAATCTCTGTTCTTTTATTTTAAAACCTTTCCTCCTTGTCCTACCACTACATGCACTCATAAAAAGTCCCTCTGCAGCAATCTTGCAGGTCCCTTTGGGTACTGGAAGGCTGCTCTCGGGTCTACCCAGAGCGTTCTCTTCTGAACAACTTCAACTGTCTCAGCCTGTCTTCACAGGCGAGATGCTCCAGCCTTCTGATCTTCGCGGCCCTTCTCTGGACCCACAAAAACAGGTCCCCATTCTTCTTATGTTGGGGGCCCCCGAGCTCAATGCAACACTCCAGGTGGGGCCTCACAAAGGTGGAGTAGAGGCAGAGAATCACCTCCCTTGACTTGCTGGCCACTCCTATTTTGGTGCAGAACTTGTAAGATGCCTGTCAAAAATTCAGGGGCAAATAAATGATATTGCGGACTACTTGATTTAAACCAAATGAAGAATATGTTTAAAGATTCAGCTTAGCTTATTTCTTTGCAAAATTACAGACCTCTAACTTCCCTGTGGTGATTCAGGGAAGAGATTACCTGAATATTGAATGATCTAATAAGAGTTAAATAAACATAATATTCTAGCTCATGTTTCCTTAATTTCATGTAGCAATCAAGCCTGCAGATAAACCAATTATTCTAATCATTTCTCTACATATAATTAACATGTTTTTATAGCATAATTATTCAATTTTATTTACACATCCTCTGTTTGATTTTGCTTTAATATAAGCCTTTCAACCAGAAAGAAAAAAAAAATCACACATCCCCAGCTTTACAGTATTATCAGATCCATATTAAATAACAGAATTGAATTATGACTTAGAATTTTTTTAAATCCTTGTTGATATCATTTAAAGGAAAATAAAATACAGGCAACAGAGCCTATATTTTGTTTTCATAAAAAATATGGCAGAATAAGGATATCATTCATATGCACTTGAAAACTGTTTATTATTTAACAGTTCTTCTTGTGATAAAATATATTCCAGAAGTACCCAAAGACCACAGAATCAGTGTAACAACCTAAATTGGCAAGATACTGGAATCAACTACCAAAAAAAATATTCTCCACTTGCACGTGATATAAAGTAGTCACATTAACATAAGAGACTGGATCTTAGACAAAAAAGTTATGAGCCATATGGAGAGAAGGAAACGAAAATTGATTGCTTCAACATCTGATTTTGTAAAAATGCTGTTTTCAAATATCAAGGTACTGAGGCAGTTGCTGGCAATCAGTATTAGTCCTTAATTTAGGCACAGGCACCAAAGTATGCCTTATGTTAGGAGTGAGTTTTATCCAGCACATAGTCCATAAGGGAAAAACAGGCCCCTTTAGAAGGTATATCTGAGACGGGACCATATTTCATCATTACGCAGGTAATCCAAGTCATAACTCAGACACTGAAATGACTGTCTAGATAAGCAATCATTTAATAGAATTAATGGGTTCCAGTGCACTTGGTAAGAGAAGTGAAACAAGGAGACTTGCTGATATCACAGACATCTGAACTCTTGCAAATCTGTAAGACAAATAAGGCTAAGCAAAACTGCAGTATTATTATCTGAGGTATTCCAAACTGATTCTTCATGGAAATCATGTTATGTTCGTGTGTGAGGGGAATAATTTTCTCAAGCAGTACTGGTGTTATAATAGACATGAATTATTAGGAATACAATAGCCCAGTGTTTAATAATTGGGCTATTTTCAAGTGAAGTTCTCAACCAGACAAAAATTACTGAATGGTAGAATAACTGATCCTCATGTTACAGCATTACTGAAATAACAGGCCCAAAGTCAAATAACAGGAATAGCATTGATGTGAGAGAGAAGATCTTGTAGGTCACACAGCAGCAGACTGAATCTCAGAGCCTTCGTGAATGTAGCTAGTTATTTTACAATCAATTAAGTATTTAAAATTCCATATTTTATTGAATATTGTAGTTATTACTGTCAGCTTTGCCAAGGGAGATCTAAAGGAACTCCATGTTTCACAGCATACTGCATACAAGAATAGTTTGTATGACCATGGAAGTGAGACTAGTTAGGAAGTAAACTGAAGTAGGGAGATCTTCACCTGACCCCTTCCGGAGTGATAACTACAGCAACATAAGGCAAGACAAGTGCTATCTCAGTAGCAGAGGCCCCTGGAATATTCAGGTCCCTGCTATGATACAGAAACCTGATGACCACAGATTGGTTTGCTGGTCTCCTGGTTCCCACTAGATGTTCCTGGCAGTTTCAGCTTAGAGAGATGACTCATGCATTTTTCAGTCTAGTTTGGCAGTGGCTGCAGCTCTAATAGCCGTAGGTTTTTTGAACCTGTCAAAAAAAATCTGAATGACAACATCTCTGTTGTCAGACACAAAAACCACCTAAAAAAGTTTCATTTTTATATATCATTATTTTTAGTTCTTGCCCCATTATGAGCCAAACCTTTTTCTAAAGAGCTTCCCTCACTGTGCTTACAGCTTTGTCTTATGCCTTGACTTCAGCTGTAACAGCCCCTAGGCAGAAGAAGTACAAGGGCTGTATCTCTTTCAAAAGAAGATACAGCTCCTAAGCCTTTCACACAGTGTTATTGGCAAGATACATATACAAAGCCTTTTAGAAAATCACACTGAAAGTGTAAAGTTCTCTGCCTCACTCTCTGAATGTCTTGAAAGAGGGATCAGATAGATTTCATTTCTACCTTCATTTTACATATACAGTCTTTATGTACCAGTTCAGCATTACTTTCACCATATGACAAATAGCATGCATAATATAGGACTACCATGCTATAGGTCTATGTAATACATTATAATGAAAGCTGAAGATAGAAAATATTGATTACAAAGAGGAACAAACTGCAAGCGACCTTTTAGGATATCCCTCATTAACCTCTATAAAGCTCTGAAACATATTTTTTGCTGAAAAAACCACACTTTTTTGTTTGGCGTTTCAGAAATGGTTACCCCCTCAAAGATTTTGCAGATGTTCCACAGCACACAAATTAACAGACTTCACTTAACCAGCAGTTTCATGAACAAGGTGAGTTTTTCCTGCAAAGCAATCTATTCTCAAGCAAAATGTTCACTGCAGCCTGCTTTTAAAGACTGCTTAACAGAAGATAAAGTATTGATACCTCCTTACTGCAGAAGTCTTAGTGAAACATGAAAACAAAAAAAAAGGAGCATTATTATGCTGTGGTCTGACAGTGTATTTAACTGTTTATTTAATTTAACACAGTTTAATTACTGTTTAAGTACTGTACTTACTGTAACTACAGTGAAGTTCATTACACCTACAAATAAAACAATAATAAAACAATAATTTTGTTCTTTTTATTCAGTGAAAATAAGGGAAGTTTAACTTTTCATCTGTTTTCATCAGCATGTGAGATAGATAATCTTTTCCTCCATCTAAAATCTTGGCAGAGAAAGCTCGGTAAGTGCTGTTAGGCATTTTATGATCCCTTGCTACCATACATACCAGCTAGGTGTTTTTCCATGGTCTGAAGTTCTTTTGCTGCTAAGGAGTCTTTTAGGAGTTTCTGTCTTGGAGAACCTCCAGGTCTGACACCCATAGTGTCCAAGGTCCAAACTGTCTGAGACTTACACAGATAAAAAGAAAAGGGAATACTTTTAATCCAGTTTCATATCTATATATCAAACAATAAAAAGAGTGGTGTTCTCATTTATAATCGTGAATCTGGTGCTTTTTATGTAGAATATAAATATAAAATTTTATGCAAAACACTACAAAATATCATGTCTTACCTTAAATAAAATAAGTAGCAGGCATTAGATAAAAGCAGTAGGTCTAAGGAAACTCAGATATACACCTTCACACAAGCTCTTGCTCCATGTTTGGACATTGGAACAGAAGAAATTCCTCAATGATTTACCTTCTGAGCAGTTCCAGTTACTTAGTGGGGGTTGCACCTACTTTAAATTACCATAACATTTGGCACAGTATCTCTGCAAAGCAGCACTTCTGGGAATATCATAGAATTTCCTAATCAAAAGTGCCAGTACTGTTTTATCACTGCAAGAAGTATTCCTTTCAGGAAAGGCAACTAAATCATCAGGGCAACACAGCAATTTGAAAGAGTTGCCAGCAAACAGACCATCTCCTCGGTCTCTTCATTACTGAACGCCACAGTAGAAACAACTCTGGGCCCTGTTCATCACCTTCAAACTTTCAGGGTGAGGTAGTGCCTCTCTGCACCAGAAATATGTGGAAACAAAGCCCTTGGGTTATATTTGTCAACTTTTAAGGTCAACTATGTGTCTACTTCTTATGTGGCTTTCTTTATATATCATCATAATTTCTTCACATACCATACATTCATTAATGCTTTGTTTCTTCCTTAGTACCTTAGCCAAATTACTGCTAAAATAAAAAATTCCAAACAATAAGGCCAAAGATAATCCCTCTCACCATTGACTTCCTGAACTTCTGGAAAATACCTTAACTTACTGGGAATGCCACAGCGGAACAGAAATGCAATTAAGGAGGTTACCACCTCAGAAGAGAAAATGCTTCTTCATTTTTAAAGACTGTCTGAATTGTATGATCACAATGAAATGAGGAAAAGGAGGTAAATCCAATTAATTAGTTCCTGCCAAGCTGTAAGTATATCTAAAGTGTTTTTGTTGTACTTTTAATTCTACATAGTTTTTCTAATCATGTGAAAATTTTATGAGTAACTTCAGGAGGTAAAACTGGAAAGAATACAACTGTGCTTAGCTTTCCACGCATAATCTACCATTTCTTTGCTGAATAGCTTGAATATCTTTATATAGACATATTTGACAGTGATCCCTCTAAATACAAAAAGAATCCCTCTTTATTGAAGTTGTTTGCAAATGTCCCTTCTACTCTGGCCAAGCAGCTGCCAAGTACAGACACTCTGCATGCAGTGGAACTTTTTGTGCAATATTTTGTTTGAAGATTCTGCACACAACATGTACTTTCTGTACAGAGTTTACCAAATGTGTAATCTTTCAGCTTCCATAGTCTGTTCAAGGACATAAGGTGAGCTAGTCAACACAGGGTTTTAACACTGTAAAAATAATAAGCCTTCTCAGAGCTCTGCTGCAATATCAGCTGCCACCTCTAATCCCCACCTTCCACATTAGGGCCTGTTCTATTTGAAATACCATGTAATTGAAATTACAAGCTTTTTGCTTCCCATGGCAGTCAGCCAGCACATTTTACACTAAACCTTGCACTAAAAAAATGGTAGTTTGAGTTAACCTACACACCATTTTTCTGTTTACAGGTAAGTGGGAAGCAGGAAATATGTGGACACCTGGGAATCACATTTGTTTAAGTTTCTGAAATGCAACTAGAATAATTTTTTTCTAAATTTCCATTCTGACTTACTGTTATTTGGAATAATATTTCTGAATTTGTCATGACCAAGAACCCAACATTTTAGACAGGTATTTTATATATATGTATTTTTCTAAAGTTCAAAATATTCTTTCAGTTAAAACTACATTTTAGAGGATTAAATATTTCCTAATAAGAGTATTTTCACTCAAGAAGAAAACTGCCCTACTGTCTGCCTGTGTTAGATCTCCCCAAAAGCACTAAGCACATGCTGCGTGCCAGTGGGGCTGATGAACTTGTGAGAAGCAGAGGCTTTTCTGGAAGCAGTCCTTACCCTTGGGGTTCAGATAGAGGAATGTGGCAGCCCTGCCAGGCATCACAGGGGTCACACAGGCACCCAGGAGGGCTCATGTTGTGCAATACATAACTGAATATCAGCAAAAAGAATATCAGCAGGTAAGAAAGGATAATTTCTTTAAGTACTTCAGGTGCCTTCCAAAGAAAAAGATAATCTTAAAAGTAAAAAATAATTTTTCCTTTTTTTTTTTCTTTTTTTGCAACTGTATGTACAAAATGACATGTATATTTTATGGATTTTGTTTTACACAGTGGAGGTCTCAACCAAAGAGGTTCAAGGTATGTCATTCAAGCTGCTTGCTTAACTACTTACAGGAATTATAATTTATTTCCCAAGAACCGTGATATTATGTTCTTCTAACAATCTTGTATTGTTAATTTATCTAACAGTGGTTAAACTTAAACATTTGCACAGGTTTTTTTGACTAGCTGTTGGAAGAGTTGCAGTATTCTAATATTATTTGTCATTATTTTTGCCAAAGACTTAAAATTTGAAGTTAAAATTTAAAATGTCAACTGTAGGTGCCTGAATTTCCACATGCATACAAAATTCTGCTTGGCTTGAAAACTTTTGTATCAGAACACACTAGTTTTGTGTGTATAATATACAAGTATGACCTTCATAATTCATACTACCTCACAGGTGAACTGTTTCTCTTCCTGATGTGGCAGTGCAACCTTAAAATAATTCTTTTAATGACTAACCAGCTAAATGCTAAATAGTGACCCCAATCCAAGAAATAATGTATAGATTTAGTTAATTACTGAAGTTTGGGTTATTTAGAGCTGTTGACTATACTCAAACTTGTACAAGTAATCAAGTTACTTCTTAGTATTGTTCTAAGGGGAAATGGTGGAAAAAGCCGTGAAAATTTCTAACAAATAGAATTTATATGATGTATCATCACAGTATTATTGTATTCAACATATACTGATAGTTAGAATAAAAGCTTAATTTTTTTCTGGTGCATGAAGCCTCAAGTCATTTCACAAACTGAATTACCATTAAGGAATTTATGCATTTGTCACAGAAAATCCATGTCTGTATTCCCTCAATAAAAGCAAATGAAAAGTTTCAAAGCAGTAATGAAAACAGAGAAAATTTATTTAAAACAAAACACTTTTATAAAACACTTTATTACAGTATTTTTCTCCCAGTAATAAAGAGCAAAAACCCAATGCAAATTCATGCAGATATGCTTTTTGCACTTGGACAACTTTTTTCTTCCAGTTTCTGTTACATTTGGATTGGTTTGCCTTACATGGATAATTTGCAGAGAAAAATATACCTTTTTATGTGCACATGCAAACCAAGATCACTGAATGTGAAGATTCACATAAAACTCCCCAACAACTAAGCGTGAGTCCTGTTAGATCCAGGTGGTAAAGGAAGCAACTCAGAGGGAAGGCAAAGGCTACTCAATGTGATCTGCTCAGTGCATGTGCCTTTTTCCTTTCTGTTAGTCACTGTAAAGTTAGTAACTTCCCCTTGCTTTTCCATTTCTGCTGGAATTCTAGCCCACCTAAATTTTTCCTAGTATCACTTTGGTGTTTTCTTAAAGCTTGCTAGCCAAAGACTTATTAAACTCATTTGAAGAAACATAAAGTAAAATAGGAGTTCACCACACTGAAAAAAATCTCAAGAAAAAGCTTCTGCATTTTGCCTAGCACTTTTCATTACACAAAATATTTGCCAGAAAATGACCCAGAAGTAAACTAGGATCTCTAAGGATGTTTTGAATGCTTCCTTCTACTTTGAATTCTTGCAAAACACTTGGGAAAAGTGCTCATTCTTGTAAATACTTCAACCAGCTTTTTGCTAGCTTTGCTCATTAATTTAGAATGCCTTGTTTGGGATTGGGAAGCACTGAAAATCTAATTTCTCCATTTTTCAAACATTAACTCTTTTCATGAAAAATAAAGCATAGCAAAAGATTCTATGTTTAAAGAAAAAGGTCTAACTACAAAAACTCCCTGATTTTTCAGAAATAGAACAGTAAACATATACAATGCTACAAAGAAAATCATATATAACCACAGTGTAAATTACATGAACAATGTTATAGACATAGATGTTGCCTATCTCTTCTGTGATAGTTTTAGTATCCAGATTGTTTTAGTATCCACATCAAAGATCTTACATGTGGATTCATACATGGGACACGAAGGAAAGAACCCACACAGTTCTTTTCTGAAGGTCCTTATGTATAATTCTTTCTACAATTTTTCTAAATGTACTTATCATATGAAGGCCAATGTACCTTTGAGAAAAATTTGTCAAAGACACATTAGTGGAGAAAACTTATTATAATGATCCATTTAACTAGCAACAGATTCAAATTACCCTATTGGAATGCAGTACCAATGTTAAACATTTCACACCTTGAAACACATCAGTGGTTTTTACGTGTAATATGCACATTTGAGTGAATGCCATGAACCAATTTGTCCAATTTATGAGAAATGTCTGATCAACACCTTATTCTATTTTTCTCTCATCTCTCATAATATCTGAAAATCATTCAAGTCATCAGAATGTATTTTGGTATCAATTCTGAAGTAATTTTATAGGCATATTTCTTACTGCTTTGGAGGATTTGTGGAAATCCATTGCAAGAATGCATTTATCTTCACAGCCTTCCTATGAGGAACCTCAGTTTTGTCTCTATATTTTATATATCAAGATTGTCAAAGAATAACTCTCACTGAAAGTTATTAGGGGACCATGGAACAGATCTCTCCATCAGAGCCCTAAAAGGCAACAAGAACAGTTGTATTGTTTGATTCATTTTGAGGAGATAAGTTACAGACAAACACAGTGTTGGACACCTGAATCTTATGTAAAGAGAAAAGTACACAATCATCTAGTTACGCACTATTTAAACAAGAACTTTAAGACACAATACACGAAAAAATCCAACCCCAAAAAACCCCACAGCATATGAACTAACCATAACTGGCTCCTTAGAAACTTAGGCAAAGTAGTTTCCCAAGAAATCGTGGAAGCGAAGTGAGCTGCCTTTGCCCCGCAGAGAGGATGGGCGGACAGAACAAAGCTGCAACTGCTCTTGTCTTCTCTTTGCACCACTGGCCATAACAGCAACAGCCAGTGTGGCTTTCAGGGATAGAGCCCAGAACCTTACTGTCTCTGGCAGTCTACTCTTCCAGGCAATCTTAACTAAGCCTGGAACTAGTAGAGTGTTAAATGACGCAGATACGTATTGTTTGTTCCTTCCTAAACATGCGCATACAGAGAATATATTTAAAACTATTCAGCTGAAGGCTATACATTTCTGTAACAAGATTTTGCTACTAAGCATAATGATGTTTTGTTTTCAATGTATTTTTATTTTTCTATGTAATTCAATTAATTTGTTGCTCTTTCCTATGCTACATGTTTGCAGCACTGATAAATCAAATTTGGTAGCTGCAGGTCCAAATCAACAAGGAACGTGGGTTCAGAAACTGATGCAAAATTTACTATACCCCTCTGTTCACTGGTGTGAAGCAGGAGGCTCAAGAAAGAAACTCCAAGCAATGGCAACTAAAGTTCTGTTATTTACTCCTTTTGCCCAATATCTGCAAATGCTGTGTGAGATTCTTGTACTCCAAGTTCTCAGAGCTTTAGGAATTGATCTAGAACTCCAGATCTGTCAACTGCTTTGATAACTCTCGTTGGAAATAGTTTATGTTCAGTATTATCTAGCTTTATTAGTACTACCTAATCAGATGCCTGAATTTATGTTGCCTTTTTTCCTTAGCTAAAAAATACTGAGCTCTTCTTTTCACTTACTTTATAAACACTAAGGTGTGCTATAAACCAGTGTTGCAATGGTTGAACAGGAATTACACCTCTTACACCTGTCTAAAATTTTGCTAAACTAAACAACTATTGTCAAGTTATTTGCCTTAGAAAAAAAATCAATCCCTTCTTTAACCTATATTCAAATTCCTGGTGCAATACAACTAGCATAAAAATTATGGTTATATAATTTTTTTGAAATTATTTTACTGCTGGTTATGTTTTCTGCAAACTTCATATCTGCAATGATTTTCTTAAATTTCAAAAGAAAAAAACTGGTGGAAATATTACCAAGCATAATGTTGCATTCTTTAAGTATATATGTATATACATATATTTATAGCCATATATTTTAACTAGACACCTCTTGTTTCTTAGTTTTCAAGCAAACATTAACAAGAAGCTAAATTATAGTTATTATAATTTCATATTTCATAATGAAACAGAGTTTTAATTATTTTTTCTCTTCTATTTGTAAAATTGAGTAATATCTGGTAAAATGAATATTTGACTAATGTTTAAAAACATACAGACCTAGTATAAAATGACTGCACTTTCAACGAGAGCTATATGTGTAAGTCTAACAAAATACAGTTTTGTAGGAAATTATAATAAAGCATTTCAAAATATCACCTTTCCTAGAAGGAAAATTAAGACAGAGAACTGTCCTTCCTTTGGAAGGATTGTGTAAATTTAGTTTTCTTCTCTCTAGGATGACAGCATTGGCAAGCAGAACTTTCATCTTTATGCAAAATCTATTCTTTATGAAACTTTAAAACCACAAAATTTTAAAGGATTATCCTTATGGGAAGATACTTACAGATCCTGCCACTTGAGAGGCACTCTGAAATTCATCAATAGCTTCTGTAAGTGTTTCAACTCCGGGTACTTGAGCTGTTCCAAAGAGGTAGAAGAGAAGTAAATCACTCTAATTAAGTAAGCATTAGTCACTTTGAAAATATAAAGCCCATAAATTTAAATGCACTACTTTTCAGTTTCTCTTCAATTAATTTTAATTTATTTCTCATTTTATGTCTGATTTTAATTTATAAGCTTAATGCAACATGGAACAGTGTCTCTAACATGACTAGAGTGATAAGCAAGCTTCCTTCAGCTGCCAAGGTGTTTTGTAGGTTCTTTACTATTAAAACTAAATACTGTTTGTCCTTTACACAAGTGAGTAGTGGATCTTCAGCTTTATTAAAGTTGATAAAATTAGATTTAATTAATCATATTAAAATAATTGGAATACAGTTAAAATCCTTAAAGTTAAATGTCCCGGTCAATTTAGACAACATTTAAAAGCCATGCAAGCTATAATTTTTGCCCATACTGCCACATTTGTAACATGACAGGATTTTGTGAAAAGTCCTATTTGATCCATATGCAATGACTCAAAACAGATTTTATGTACCCATGGCAGAGAAAGCAATTTCTAAGTAACATGTTATGCAGTTTCCCTCTTTGTCTGGTGCTGCTAGACACTTAGATGCTGCATCAGCAGCCCAGGAAAACAAGATGTTCTGATCTTCCCTAGGTTCTACTGTTATGCAGACACTCAGCAGGGAGGGCCTCATGTTTCCAGACCCTGATTTGTTAAACATCTCAGACTATACCTACTATGAAATCAGAACTATACTGAAGTACGGCAACTATGGTTACCACATTCATTGCAAAAACAAATAAAAGTGGAGGAAGAAGAGGTGATGATGATGCAAAGTTGTGGTCAGAGAGCTGTGCACAAACTAGGAGATGATGGCACATTTTTGCCATTGCATTATCTAGTTCTCAGTCCTAGCTCCCACATATTTGCATCTTTGATTTTTTACCCTGGTCATGCAGTTCCATCTGGAATGATTCTATGTGTGTTTCATATGTTCATATTTCTATTGAACATCCCTGATTTCAAACTATTTCTCTACATCCTAATGCCTGTTTTGAACTTTCTACTATATTGGCTTTAAAGGAAAAAAAAACCAACAAAACATAAAACCACTTCCAAAAAACCTCAAACAACAACAACAAATCAAAATCAATCAAAACAAAAATGCCAACTATGTACAAGATATATATATAAGTTTTTTCAAATTTCTACTGGCAAGTAGAGCTGTAGATCTAACAGAACAATAGAATAGGAAATACCACATTTACACAGTACCATAGAATCTATCATTTTCAGTCCAATTACATTATTCCAGGTAGAGTCACAAAAGAAACAAGGCTTTGCCTACACCTCAGAAATATGTGGAGTTGGAAACTATACTGCAAAGAAAGTCATGAACACAGCTTTTCTTAGATAATTCGAGGAGTGGTTTTGAAGTGTTATGCTTTTCATTTATCCTATATTAAGAGATTACTCCCTAATTACTGCCTTTTAGGCTTCTTTCTACAAGAATGCATAGATTGCAAAAACTTTATTTGCAATAATGTCCTCTTTCCTGCCTTATATCATGGCTTCATTCAGACGGTAAGGTACTTTTTCAGCAAGAGAGAATGAACATGTGAAACAAGTGAAACAAGGTCCTGTGGTACTTATAGAAGATTGGGAGTAAATGAACAATTATCCTTTAGTGATACTATTTCTAAATATATATTAAAAAAACCCAACTAACCAAACCAAACCAAAACAGAAACACAGCAGTACAATGCTTCTACAATTTCCCCAACCTGAAAAACACACTGGGGGTTGACAGATATAGATTTTACTAGATAAATTCTGTTATAGTATCTATCTTTTGAAGACTCAGACATTCTCCCCATCTACCTCTGCAGGAGAAGAGCAGGGCTCAGTGGAGGACTGACCCAAGAGACAAACCTGACAGGTTTGGCAGCTACAGGGGAAGTTTGCTGTGCAGTCACCGAAGCTGCTGCTTCTAATCAAAATCAAGAACCTAGCTATTAAATTCTTCCCTTTGTTTTACCTGTGAAGTCTAATGGAAAAGAAAAACATTTTTGAGAGGTATAGGTTAGGACAGTGAAAAGAAACTGCAGCTTTAAAGTGTCTTGTATTCCTCAATCTTCAGACCTGGTTACTATCTCTGATTTTTACTGCTTAGATCAAACATAAGTCTGTCCAGTTCTACAAGATTACACTACAGGGAATTCAGTACAGTGGTTAATTAGAACCAGATCCAGATTGACAGTGGAGTCAGTATAGCGTCTGATGCTGCATACAATCTTTTCACATAAGCTACTACATTGACTTTATTAAGTGGAACTGGTTCAAGTAAGGCTTATTTATAAGGGCTGTTAGATCAGATGTGCTGCCAATTACTTCCAAACTTAGTTCATCTGAAATCCACAGAAGAGATGTTCCAGACCTAACAACAATTTCCCACTAACCCAGAAACAGATTATTATCTAAAGAAAGCTACCTTCAACTTTGCTGTGCATCAGCACCTTGCCTGCGTATTCTTGAACAAATGGTTTGCATCAGCGCTTCCCAATGCATAGTTCTCTCACTACAGTCATTGGTACTGATAAGTAAAATAAATTCAAATAAACCTGGTAAGTGAAGCCTGTTATTCATTTTTTCATCATATAATACATCTGTAAGTGGACATAACTAAAAATTCAGTGCAACAATGCCTTGGTTACTTAGCGTTTTTTAATAGTATCTCTAGGAGTCTTCTCATACATATTTATCATCTTCTCATACATATTTATTGGAAATAAATATCAGATGCACAGAGAGCAAGTAATGTGCTGCATTTATAGAGAAGATTGATAGAATGGGCAGTTGCCCGAGTTCTGTGCCTGTTTCTAGTCTGTGCCTACTTGTGAAATCCAGCTGTGTCTTTTTTCAAATCAAAATGTATTACTAGTCAACATTTTAGGAAAAAACACAAAAACATACGTTTTGAAATGCTGAACATTTCTGAGAGTGCTTCTTGACAGAAATTTGGCATTACCTTACTGTTGACCTCAGTCTTTTTGCCTTGGAGGCTTTGCTGTCTTCCAGCTATATGATTAACAGGTTCATGTATATTCACAGACATCAGATAGATGTGTTTAAAACAACATGAATGTCATTGCCCCACCTACCTATTTTACTCTCTACTCCTATAAGGAGTAAAAGTATACTTTTACTTTTACTCCCCATATTTTATTGAAGGTGGTTTTTTTTAGTGAAAGTCTTTTCCACCTTCTCTGTAGGCATACTGACTACAGAGGATTCAGAAACATATGAAGTGGCCCAAGTTATAACAGGTAGAGCATTTTTGTGCTCCAAACCCTGTGACTATGAAAGATTCAGCTTCAATATTACATGGCATCCAGAACCTTCTGACAATTTCATCTGACATTTTACTGAACTATTTTATTGAAGCCTACAATTTCCAAACATAGCATGGCAAAGTGGACATATTTTCACTTTAAGAACAAGGATAGACAGGAAGGAAAAAGGAAGGACAAGATCTGTTCAAAAAAAATTATTTCATGAACTGTAGAACTTTTTCCTACATATATATCTTACCCCTCTGTTTGATTTTACTGCAATAATCTCATGCTTGCGTATTCCCTTATCTATCCCTAACAAGCCACCACCACCTCCCTTCCTGGGAATTATTCTCATACCAGAAGAATTTTGCCTTCCTTTCAGAGGGCTTGAGTAAAATCACCAGTCTAAGTATCTCTAGCTGACAATCTTCATGATGATTTTAAGGACATCATATTTTGAGATTCTGAGTCCCCTATTATTTTCTTTAATTAAGTGATCAATTGCAGATAAAAGGAAAAGTCAATGTCATGACTGCATGAAACCACGCATTCTTGCAAAACCAGTTTAAAAAATTTATCTCTAAAGACATACTAGTGACTAAAGGTTGGTTTACAAATGAGGCAAGAGAAATGAGTGAAATCTTCTGTTGCCCTAATACCTAATAGCACACATAGTAGCACTAAATAGCAGACAGTAGGATAACTAAAATAAAAAGTTAATTCTGATTTTCATTTTTTTTGTGTTAATTGATCAACATAGCTGACTTGTCTGTGGCTGCTGGAGACTATACTGAAATCAAGCCCCACAATTCATAGACTCAGTTGGTTCTGCCCACAAGTAAGGGAATGAACTGAAAGATTTATCTTTGCAGATTCTCTGTCCAAACCTCTATGCCTTTCTCTCTCTGTTCCAGTGACAGCTAAGATAAAGTTAACCTTCATTAACTTTATCTTTTGTAGGAAAGCTGGGCATTCTCTGGAAATTCCCTTAGGAATTACCTTTTCCAGCATTTCAGGTGTTATTCTGTTCCAAATCCTGAGCAGAAATTGAAATGCTTGAGTGTCCTGACTGCAGATTAGTGCAACATAGGATGTTTGTATGAGGAGAAAAAACGTTCTTCAGAACTACTGTATAAACGCTTTATTTTTGCTGTGCATTGAGTCATGTGGGTACATGTGTGGTATTATACTAAATATTTCAAAGACCATTCTTTGACATAGAAGTCAACTGGCAATGAACAGCCCATGTCTATGCTATTAAGTTGTTTTACATCCAAAATAGTATGCTAACATACGAACTGCCTACTAAGAACAAATTCTGGCCCAGGGTACCTCTCAAAATATGCCCGAGAATTATTCTGGAGTGCTAATTGCCCACGACAAAAATCATGTTAGTGACTCTTCAAACAGATTTCAAGTGTAAATGATTGAGTTCAAATACCACGAACACTCTCTGAAAGTGTTTAAACTTTTACAGACATAACCTCTACTCGTAAATTCAAGATGTTGGTGTTTGGGGGTTTTTTTATAAGCAGCAAATATTTATATGACTTACCATCAGAGTCTGACACCGCTGGCTCAGATACCTGAGATACCATGGAGACATCTTCTGGCCCTTCTGCCAAATTATCCCCTTGCAATCTAAATGGTGGGAAAATGCAATGAAAACGTTTGCAATCATATTGCTTAGATAAGACAGAAGACCATTATCCCTGACTGCATACTGTACTCACAACATCGTCCTAATTAAAAGGGCAGCTCTGCTGAAAAGCCCACACTCGTGGTTCATTCATGACATCCCAGACTGTCTAGTAACCAAAACTAGCCTCCAAGAAACTCATAGCCAACTGAATCCTAGCTCTTGTATTTTTGTAAGTCTTTTAACAAAAGTAGGGGTTTGGTGGTATCGTGTGCATATGAAACTGCAAGCTTCCTTCACTACCTTAAAACATATTTTAATTGAACAGGATTGTACTGGATGTCCCTGTAAAGGTGTTGGCAGTGGGGGGGCTGCAGGAGTGGCCTTGGTAAGGAGAGGCCGGGGCTGTCCTGAACCAGACACAGGTGGTTCCATCTGGCTCCAAAAGAACCACAGCAGGGCATGGCTGAGCCCTTCAGTCAAAATGGTGGCACCTTGGAGAAAACTAAGCTAAGACTTAAAGAGCAAACAATGCCACACCAGCAAAAGAGCAGCAGAGGGAACACAAAGGTCAGAGGAGGAGGTGCTCCACACTCCAGAGCAGATACTCCCCTGCCGCCCATGGTGAGATGCATGTGAGAGCCAATATCCACTGCAGCCTGTGGAGGACACACACCAGGGCAGGGGAATATGCCCTGGTGAGACTGTGGCCCATGAAAAACCCACAATAGAGCAGGCTTTTTAATGAAGGACTGCAGCCAGTGGGAAGAGCCCACGCCGGAGCAGGTGAAAAAAGTGATGAGAAAGAAAGGACAGAGAGGATCCAAAATGGACTGACCACAACCAAATGCATGCAAGAATATTTCCTCTTCCTTTTTCAATTTTTAAAATGAAAATACAGTAATTATGGCAGACTTCATCTTTAGGCTTTCCCCCTGCACCACCTAACTGTAATGCCTTGATAGCAATTTACAAAAATAATGTTTGTATCTGTTCTTTTTAATGACCATCCCAAGAGTCCCATCATCCTTCTACAGGCTCTTATGAATCCTGAGTGCATATTCTGCTCTGAAGAAATGGTTTGTAGCTCTTAATACAATATAACCGCCATTTACATAAGGGTTATCTTACCTTGGATTTATTTAGACATGAAAAGAATATGAAAAATGCAATTCAATTTTGCAAAGCCCAGGAATCATAAAAATGTACTGAAGTAAAACCTTGGGGAAAGAAATAACTTATCGCTTGAAAAAAATAATGTTTTTTTCACTCTATATTCTTACTCTCTGCAGCCGCTTTACACTAAGCTTTGAATTAACCTTTGAAGCCAAGCAGAACCCCTGTATCTGCCCTATCTGAATTTCATATTTTACGACTCTCATAGTTATCTTATATATTTGAACCTTAAGTCATTTGTTTGTACTTCTCAAAATTATTTCCCCCCAACCCTCAATTACTTTATATCCTTATATTACCCCTACAATGGTTTATTTAGGATGGAAAGCTCAATGTATATTCATAATGTTTCTTACCTAAGGAGGCAGTTCCATAGAACACAAAACTCCTCAAGGCAACAAACTACAGAACTTAGAAGCTGTAAATCTAATTTTGAAAATTACTTCTATGAATCCTTTATAGTTGTATACCTGGCTTCTAATGCTATAGTTGCCAATTCTTTAAAAGCCTACCTTGTCAAACAGGCTCTTCTAAAGACGACAGTCAAGCAGAAGCAAATAACTTTGTATGATTATCATAAAGATATTCAAATAGTGAGAAAACACATTGTAAATGAAATAACTATGCAAAAAAAGGATGATTTCAAAAATCACATAACTTTCCTTTGCAATAAAATTTGGCTGTCCGTCTTCATTACATACATACACGTTTACTACAAGAACATATTCAAGCTTATAAGGATATGCACAGAATTGTGGGAACCAGAAGTGAGGTACTCTTCTCTGTAGCCATGTTGGTAGTTTACTTATGCTTAATGAAAAGGAAAATTACTCCAACCTTCGCTGCTTATATTGCATTCATACAAAAACCACCTCTAGAAGTAGGAGCTGCTTCTTTTATCCCATCAGAATTTTCAAGATTTTACTATATGTTCCCATTCTGAGCTTCCATAAATCCAAACCACACATGAACAACTGAAATTATCCTCATCTTATTTTAAAATTTACATAAATTTCAGTGGTCCACTGCCTCATGAAGAACATGGAAAAAAAAAAATCTTTTCAATGTATTCAGAAAATCTATTTCATATTATTTCCCTTTGCAGAAGGAAATGGCTGGGGTACTGGATGAATGGGTGAATTAAATGTGGGACATATCTGGACATCATTTTCAAATTCAATTTTCAACTTATTTATGTATTTCTTACATATAGATTCATATTAGAACAGATTCTCATGTGACTCAAGCAACAAAAAAGTCACAAACAGTGTTTCTTGCCAAAGGAATTCTGTTACTTGGATGATTCCAATTTCTTCTTCAATAGTAATATTATTCATAAGATACCTCCACAGTAAAACAAAAGCACTTAAAAAATCTTAAGGAGTGAGAAGTATAGATTAGAAAGAAGCATAGGTCTAGAAGAGTTACCTAAAAACTACTATCTTACTAACACTTCATGAACTACTTCAGCTATTAACCAAAACATATTTCAGCTACTGACTGTTTTAATGGGAGTCAAAACTTGATACCTGGTAGACAACATTTTTTTCCATACACATTCTGTTTCTAGTGTGATCTCCTGCTCAGAGGCCATTGTTTCAGTTACATTAACCAGCTGCATGTTGGAGGTTTAAGAGCTACAAAGGCAAACAGCCTCCAGGTAAATATTTCAATTTTCTTTGACCACAAAAAGCATTCTGTAGGACTTGTTCCAAGAAAACTGTGAAGGACTTCAGGACCAAAGACATTCTAAATAAACTCTACAGGATTGGTGTGGCAGCATTATACCAGGTCTATCATTACAAACAAGCTTGTGGGTGCATGAATCACAGTCACACCCCCAGTATGATTTAGAATATGATTCACAGATTCACAGAATGGGTCAAGTAGGAAGGGACCCCAATCTCTCTGCTCAAGCAGGGTCATCCCAAAGCACATTGCACAGAACTATGTCTAAATGGTTCTTAAATATCTCCAGTGCGGGAGAGTCCAAAACCTCTCTGGGCAACCTGTTCCAGTGCACAGTAAAAAAGTTCTTCATATTCAGGTGGAACTTCCTGTGCCACAGTTTCTGCCTGTCACCTCTTGTGCTATTGCTTGGCATCACCAGGAAGAGCCCCGGCTCCATCCTCCTGACACCGTCCCTTCAGACACTTGTATTACATTGATGAGATTCACCTCTCAGTCATCTCTTCTTGAGACTGAAGAGGCCCAGCTCCCTCAGCCTTTCCTCATTAGAGAGATGTTCTAGTCATCTTTGTAGCCCTCCACTGGACCTGCTCTAGGAGCTCCAAGACTCTCTAGTACTGAGGAGCCCAGAACTGAACACAGAACTCCAGACGTGGCTTCACCAGGGCTGAGTAGAGGGGCAGGATCACTTCCCTCGACCTGCTGCCAATGCTTTTCCTAATACACCCCAAAATATCATTGGCCTTCTTGGCCACAGGGGCACACTGTTGGCTCATGGACAGCTTGTTGTCCACCAGGAGCCCCAGGTCCTTCTCTGCAAAGCTGCTTTACAGCATGTCAGCCACCAACCTGTAGAGGTGCATAGGGTTATTCCTTCCTTTGTTGAATTTCAGATGGTTCGTCTCTGCCCACCTCTCCACCCTGTCAAGGTCCTTCTGAAGGGCTGCACATCCCTCTGGGCTATCGGCCACTCCTCCCAGCTTTGTATCATCAGCAAACCTGCTGAGGAGGCACTCTGCTGCTTCATCCATGATACCATAAGAATATGCAAAAAGAGGACAATGCTACTTCTACATTCCTTGAATGAGTCACAGCATAATAAAATCCTATACTGTCTCACAAGGGCAAGACAACAGCAAATAGAAAAAACAGACTCAAGATTCAAATAATAGATTTTTTTTCATGTTAAGTACATTGTTGAATTCAATCATTTGGGCTGTTTATGTTTCTTAAAACACAGACTGTTGGACATCAAGGTGAGTATATTGCAATTTGATATTTCAATAGGAGTCACCTATTTTGCCAGATGAAAAAATGCTTGACCAGTTTGAAAAGAAAATAAATGTTGACAATCAATATCCACAATACAGTTGAATTCACTGCTCTTCTATACTGTAATCAGCTACATGGCATGTCTTTGTACTTCCCCATTCTTTTTGTGTGACAGAACTAATGGTCTTCTTTTCAAAGCTCTCTGATACCTATCAATATCCAATGAGCTATTAAAAGGACAGCTTCTTGATATTATGGTAATTGGTGCTTTAGAAAGTTGACAAATTGATGACTCCACTTAGAAACTAAAAAGAAAGAGGTAAGATGATCCTACAAAACAATTCCTTACATGAATCCAAAATCCATCTAACAGCATCCTAAACGAACTAATTATAATGAGTACCTAATGAAGTGTGGAGATAGTGGGGATGGAAGGAGAGAGGAAAGCATGAGTAGGTGTGATTTCTCCACTTGTATCATTCTTAAAACAATGCAGCAGCCCTCATACAGCTGTGGAATTCCTAGACAATATGACACTGGAATTAAACTATATCTTGGGGGGAAAATAACAGGGAAAGGGTTAGAAAGCCGAATTAGAATTGTGGGTTTTTTCTCCACAATTTAAAGTTGGCATGCATTTTCAGATTTGAAATTTGTAGAAATATTTACTCTTGAGCAAAATGGACTTTTAAAGTATGTGCATTATTAATTGTCTTCTGCTACAGTATAGTAGAGGTTGTACTTAAGGAAATTTCTTTGTCATATCAAATTCAGAAGAGAATGATTGTCACTTATAGACAGAGGAATTTATATTATATTCAGGTTAATGCTATTCTGACTCAGTTTTCTAGAAATATGTCACTTA